AAGTACTTCTGTTTGAAGACTTTGCAAACTTACAGGTATAAGGAAGTGTTCTTTTCTGGATATTAAAGATAAAGCTTCACCTGCTTCTCATGCAGCTACAGTTTTCTATGCTTTTCAAAGAACATGAACATAAGCTTAGCTGTGGCTGAAATACTGTGCTATAGAATGAGTCTTGGAATGAAAGTATGTTGTATAGAGGAGAAAAAAAAATGGGACTTTTCACTAGGAATTGCATGCCAGAATGGACTTCAGGTTACATGACAACTTAAAAGTGTTTCTTTATAGCTGTGATTGCAAAGCATGAGTTTTATAGAAGAGCAAGCAATTGGAAACAGCTGTACTTGCCACTCTTTAACAAAAAAAAAAAACCACCTAAACCACTGAGTTTAGCAGTATAACTAATCTGTATACAGTCATTTATTTCAGTATAAAGTTCAGTAACGATGGAAATACAGCTTGTAAGACAATTTTTGGAAAAGAATCAAAGGTTAGGATTGAAGTGGGAAAAATATGAGTAGCTGAAAGTGTAGAACCGAGACTACTTAACTGACTACTTATTTACAGACAGTTGTGAGATGTCCTGCTGGTTTATCAGCGCACTATTAATAATTCAGCTACTAGGGAAAGAATCCAGTGGTAAACTTCTGTTTTGCCCAGGAAAAAATGGTGGTTCCTCAGCTGGCAGAAAAAGGAGAAAAAAAAAAACCCCAAACCATGGTTTACGGAAGAGCTGTGTTGATGTGGATCCAGTTTGGAACCAGTTTGTTTTATAAGTGCAGCGATTTCCAGATAGGGGTAAGTGATGGTTCTGGAAGACTTCCCCCCGCTGCCCCCCCACCCCCCTTTGATTATGAGATTTAAACAGCACAGACCTACCAGAGACCATATCTCAGGGATGGCAGCAAGTGTTGGCTTCTGCATAGTTTGGAGGGCCAAAACCATTTCTTTAATTGCAAGTAATTATTTTCAACTTCTAGTTCCTTTATCACCTGTTGATCAGTTTGGCTTTTGCCTGATTTATACAAAAAAGTGTGGTATCTGGGAGAAGAATGTGTAGCAGGTAACCAAAGCTTGTAATGGCTACTAGTAGTAGGTTTGGGAGAGTTGTTCCAGTTTTTTTAGGTTTAAGTGGTGATAAAAACTTGTGAGTTAGTAAGAATGATTGTGAACTGTCACTTGGCAGAATCTGTTGATGACACACCTGCATGTAGCCCAGCTTGAAGCTCATGGCTGTGTATATGGAGAAAATATATCCCTAAACCACTTCCAGTTTTCTTAAGAGTATTTAATTTCTTCAAGTTTTTCTTAACCTTCCACCTTCCTTTCCAATATTTCTGCAGTTTCTCTTTAAGGATTTGCTTTCTGATGTTTGGTTCATCTTCAGGGATTTTCTTCAAGGTCACGTTTCAACCTTGAACTACTTGCAACTGTCAGATGCCATGCTCATATGAGGCATGTCTGCAGCCTTGGAAGGGAACATGTCTTTTCAAATGTTAGCTAGGTCAACCCTTTAAGCGTATTTAAATAGTGAGTGTAAGCTGTATGATGATCTTCTGGAAAAGTTCACAAAACTTTATGTGGACAATAAAGTTTTGGTGTTGGTGGTTGTTTTTGTTTTGGCTTTTTGTTCTTGTTTTTCTCTCAAGCTGATAAGACCTCAGTCAACTTTGTCAGCTCTGCCCTTTAATCCCAGTGAGACGTGTGACCTCCCAATGTCTCTTGCTTTCCTTCCTTTGCTGGATAGTGTGGCAAGTACTCATGCACATGAGATCATAATCTTCTAACTCTGGGGTTAGCCCTCTCATCCAGAAGTTTAGCAATCCCAGAGTGAAGGCTTAACAGAACATTTCTTCTTCACTGCTACTGGTGCAGTGGGCTTGGCGACATGAGGGCTTGTCCATCAGCCCCTTTATCGGGGGTTGCAATTGTGTGGGTTTCACCTTCTTCGAAAGAAAATGCTGGATTTTGGAAATGCCCTCATAATATGTGATATTGAGACTTTAATTTCAATTAAGTGGCGACCTTGGCAGGCTTTCTCATGACTTGGTCTTTGGTTTGGTATCAGGTGTTAACAGGAGAACAGCTGTTTGGTAAGGTACTGACCTTGCCTTTTTGCTGGATTTTGAATGCCACAGCACAAAGATGCCTGCTGAGGGAGTTCAGCATCCAGGAGAGCTGCTCTTCCTCTTCCTCAAGGCCCTGTTTGTGACTACAAGTTTAGGCATAAATGCAATCATCCTGATGTATTTCAGCTCCACACCCTGTTCTTTTTCAGGGTATCAGCAACCGGTATTGACTACCTGGGTGCTGTAACAAATGACATACCTTGGAGTTTGAAAGCTGGGTAACAAGATGTGTGATATTGCTTGAGGTATATCATATATGACTAAGGATATAAATCTGACTTACCATAATGACTCAGCATTCATTTCAGGAATTACATGTGGCTACTGCTGTGCATCTCCCCCTTGATGAACAGCTTTTATCCTACTGTCATGCTTTCTCCATTTTCAGTCTTTTACATGTTGATTACTGTTAGCAAGGTCTTTCTGAAGCCTGCTGATCTACTGTAAATGCATCTTGCTGAAAGGATAAATGTGTTCCTAGGAGTGTGGATTTTTTTTTTTTTTTCAGTTTCTGCTTATTGCAGTTCTCAGAGCTATATTTGAGAGAACAGCATCCTTGAGATTTTGTAATAGGGATTGTTGTTTAGATGGTTTTGTCGTCCTTATTACAGGATGGATGCACCAATTGCTAGGTATTACTTGCCTGTATTGGTTTCAAGCCTTTGAGTAGTAAGCATCCTTAAGGAACTTTCTCCCTGTTGATGTTGGGTATGATTTCTCATTGGCACTCTGAGGCTGTATCAAGAATGTTTAAGCTTGCAATGCACATGCATGATATGACTCAGAAGCTCGTGATCTCTGTGGTCTTCACGCTCAAATAGCTGTTATTCCAGAGCTTTGCCCTCTTAGCATGGGAGAGGAACAATCCATTGACAGTTCTGTTGTCATCAGCCTTTGTACTGGTGGGGTCTCTCTTCCTATGTGCTTCCATTATCAGCAATTTCCTTGAGACTGATTGGCATGTGATTTACTCTGGAGGACAGGTAACATGAGAAACTGAGCCATTTCTTCTCCTGGCTGCATGGTTCAGTGTCCCTCGGCACCAGCTTTTGATTCTCCAGCTGTTGCACCTAGTGTTACTGGCTTTCCTTATTGTTGTCTCTCATCGTAGTTCTTAGAAATGCCTTGATTATTTTTGCTTTCGCAGTGGACAAAAATCACAGATGTCAGTGTAATTTTTTGTTGTTTCTGACTTTGAAGTAAGTCAAGATCATGTAGCAATGCAGTGTTCCTTTTACAATACTTTTAGGACCATACAAAATAAAGTTTGGTGAGTTGTTTCACTTAAAAATACTTACCAAGCAAGTCTAAGAGGTAGAATTAGAAATTATGACTGCTGAATTGATTCTTCCATCTCCACCAACCCTTCAAATACAGTGACAACCTGTCCCCAGAAACACTGGAGATTTACTTTAAATTTTTCCACAGGTGACTTCTGAGTTATGTTTTAGACTGGCAACTTGTCTGCCTTTTCAAACCATTCAAGAACCACCTCTTCAGGCAGAAGCCAGTGTTCACATCCTTGACTTTCTCTTTATACTGAAGGAACTGGCAAAAGTTTCTGCAGTGATTCATTAATAGTTGATATACCTGAGACTGTGACTGTGCTCACCAGTGGCCAAACAGTGGAATCCTTAAAGGTTTCATGTTACAGATATATTAGATCTTATTTTTTTCATGAACTTTTAATGCACAGTTATCTCATTTAGAAATGTCTCTGTTCTTGACCTCTGCAAATTGGTGACCTGGAGCCATTCCCTATCTTCAGCAAGTACTAGGCTCTCACGGAGCCATCCTCAGCTGTATGCTACACAAGAGTCATCTTGCAGAGAGTGTTTACATGCTGGACTCTTGAGACCTGTTGCCAGCACGGTGTGGTGCGTGGTTCTTAGAGCTGTTCCCAGTGAAAATTTAAGTGCAAACTACTGTTTAAGGACTGGAGAAGTTGCTCACTTCATAGCAAGCTCACCTTTCCATGAGCTGTTCGGTGTCTGTCTGCATCTAGCTCATCTTCCCTTCCCCATCAGTAGCCTTCAAGACGACTCAGTGCAGGGATACAAATCTACAAAGGAGCTGGAACAGCACTGGATGGCCTCTGCCCTGTATGTTCATGCGCTGAAGAGGAGAGGCTGCTTCACTTGTGGGTGTTCTTGGGTGAGCAAGAAAATAATGTTCTGTTAGGCACACTGTATTTATTTATGAACCTCCTAGCTCACAAATGCCCAATTCCTAGTTAAAAAAAAGCTTTTTCTAAGCATTGTTATCCAATCCGAAGAGCTACCATAAAATACTTGAGATTACAAAGTCAGGATTTTGCAGTATGAGGATTTTGCAATGCAATGAGGCATGGCAGCTGTACCTAGGCAGTAAAGCATGTGCTTGTTTCCTATTCTTGTGTTTTCTGAAGAGCATTGAAGCACTTACTTAGTGTTCATCACCTACTTTTCAGAATTGAAAATAAGCTCATTGAAATTTTTGAACCCAGCAAGTGGATAGCCAATGAAAAATAATTAATGAAAACCCAATAAAATGCAGGTAATTTTTATTTAGTTAATTTGGCAATTAGATTCTGTTAGCTATAGTGCTAACATTGTGAAATAAAAACATGCCTGGGTAGATTTGGGGTAACTACATGACAGATTTTTTTGTGCACTAATTAAGAAAATAATTTTTATAGATCATTTTAAGAAACGCCAACGCTTTCATCTCTCTCTAGATTAATTTTCTTGGAGCTTCTGACATATTTTACGATATGTCAGATATTCCAGGAAGAGAACTAATGGCTCAACCCAGTGTCTAGCTTTATCCAGGCTTCCCAGCTGGTTTGCTGGGACTGAGGAACCTCATATTGCTTTTGTGTAATCTAATAACTAGGGAGAAAGTGAGGCTAAATGACAGCAGCTGTGGCCCCGACATACCAGATGTGGCTAAGCGGCTCTGTTTGGAAGAGGTGAGGGATCACAAAGAACCCCAAATGATGGGTTAATCCCACTGAGGCTCTGAGGGTGAGAGGGTGCGGAGCAATTGTCAGGAGGAATCCACCCCCAAGCTTTTGAGAAAGGAACAAAGAAAAGCTTTGCTGATCAGCAAAGTCTGACTTGCCAGTGGGGCTGGAAAAGTCGACAGAGATGCTTCTGACTTTAGACTTTTCTTAAGCCGATTCAAGAAAAATTCTTCAAGTTAGCATTCCAGCAAAATCAAAGAATTTCGAAATGCAACGAGATGCCAAAGTTTGAGATGCTCTGGTTTAAATGAGACTCTCTTTTCCACCCTGTCTTTTGATCTGCTGCTTCCATGGCATACCTCTTCAGTTGGGTGATACCTGGCAAGGTGGCTGATCTGCGCAGAGGTTTGATTTAAGGATTACTTGAATCATCTATGGAGCCGTGAAAATTACTGTCCTCACTGAAGTTCCGGTATGGCAAATTTGTGTTATGTACAGCATTTGTCACTTAAAGAACTTGCTAAGATTGCTTTAGTCTTCCAACTTACTTATGTTTTAAGATAAAGTGCTCTTTCTGCTAGTGCTTCTTGACTGTTTTTGTTGGGGGGGGTGTCGTTGGTTTTCTTCTGAAAACGATGTGTCTTTTTTGGTATCCTTTTTCTTTCTTTGTTGAAATGACTTACTTAAAGAGTGTAATTTGTCATTTTGATCAGCTATTCCCAGGCACACAAATCTGCTTGGGCATTTGTTGGCTTTATTTTGTTTTGATTTCATTCTTGTTTTGATATAATTATGTAACATACATATTACGTTATACATACATATTTTTTCTGCAAAAAAAATTTCTGCTCGAGAAAAATGGTTACCAAAGCATTTCTGTCTTGTGTCCAAACTTTATATGAAATATTTACACAGGTTTGAGTAAAAACTGACAAATTCTGTTTGCAGGTATTTCAAACTACCTGCAATGATTGAAGCACTCCAGGATTTGCTTTTTTTTTCTTGCCTATTTTGAACAGTGTCTTCAAGCTCTCCTTGCTTGTTTTGGCATACTCTCAGTAACTTTAAATGATGCATATTCACTTAATTGCGGGAGGGGGATGGTAGAATGAAGTGACTTTGTTTCTGTTAGCAGTATCCACTGATGGAAGAGGGAGGTGGATGTTTGAGGAAATGTGTTTAAAGCACATACTGCTATGGACAGTGCTGGACAAAAAACCAAAATCAACCCTTATGTATTAAGGCAAATACCCGAGAAACATTTTAAAATACAGAGTAAGAACTTTTCTGTGTAAAATCTGACTGTGAGGAAAAGGGGTTCTTGCATACCCAAGCCATGCCACTCATCTGGTTGAATTAAAAATGACTGTTACTAGTAACATATAATCTTATATATAGTTTTATATATATTCCCAAAGGGAATGAATCCCACGTAAATCATGCTCTGTCTTTCTCCGGATTGCTGTCATAACTCTTGATTCTGCTGGTTGTCTGCAGAAAACTGGTAAGGATAAAGACAAATACCCAGCAAAGTCCCAGGTCTGGGACATGTTGTCACCTCTTACTGCACACCTGACGACTGAGGTCAGAGAGGCCTTAGAAATAGCACGGGCTAGTATTCTTGGAGTTCTGTCAAATGCAAGACCTAAATCCATGCAAGCACCAAGCGTGCTAAGACTCACAAAACTTTTTTTTTAATTTTTTTACACTCCTCTTACGGTTTCCGGGTATTAAGTTTCAGGTTTGGCAGAAGGCAAATGGCCAGAGGAAGGCTGTTTTACTTAATCCATATATATGTAATTCATGCCTTTTTTTTTTCTTCTCCCTAGTTTGCTTTGATATGCTCTTTCACCAATATGTTGCTGGAAGAATGTGCTTGAAGCAAAGATCTAAATGTAAAATTTTACTTCTGTGCTCTAATTAAAGTCAAGATAATTATCTGCCTACATTTCTAAAATCCACCTTCTACTTGAGTATGTTTTCAAAAATATAATCAGATATTTTAAATCTCTTTAATCTTGGTTATATTTCATGCTGTTGTGATGCATTTGCCAGGTATGGAGGGATAAAAGCCCACTTTCTTAGTGAAACTGCATAGTATCTCACCATCTTTAAGCAAGTGTGAATTTTGGGAGATGGGAGTGGTTTTAAGTTACTCAGGAGCACTGTTTTCATGTCTATGCTGAGATCTAGAAAATGGACAAAGCTCATAAAATTTTGGTGGGGTCTGGGGTTTTTTATTCTTATATTAAGCTTACTGCTGGTTTTGCATGAAGCCACCTTGTTCTGGTGGTAGAATCATGGAAGTACAGATTCTGAAATGTCTCAAAAACTTATTTTGGGTTTCTATAGAAGTTTTCCTTTTATTCTAGTCTGCATGAAAACACATGTCACATTTTACTGGTGGAGTCTGCAGTATAGGTTTAAAACAGGATATCAGATGACAACTGTGAATAAAACTAGTGCTAGAAGGAGATTATCACCTCCTAGAATTTGAAAGCAGAGACTGATGTGCTGTACAGTGCAGGGTGGACAACATGTTCTAGAGTTTGAAAGGCAGTACAGAGGTGTTCTAGAGGATGGTCTTTGAAGCTCTGGTATATTGAGCATTTCTGTTGCCCCAGAAGGGTGTGGAGACAGGATTGTCAGCTTCATTGGCTTCTATGCTGCAAATCTTTTGTGCTGCATTCTGCATTATGGCAAACATCTCCAGAACCATGTTCAACACAGGTGCTGCAGACAAAAACACTATTCCTCTGTCATATACCTCCAAGACACTCATTTTCATATGTGCACAGATTAGCGCTGCATGGGTGGTATGTATATGGCCATGAATTTCTCTGACATGCCCAGGTCTTTGTTGCTAATGTGACTGATTCAAAGTTAGCGAATTTAATCATAAGTATTATGAAAATGAGAAGGCTTATTTAAAAACTGTTCAAAACAATATGAATTTATTTCTTCCTTTCTTTAGGAGACATCACTCAGAAAGGATATGAAAAGAAAAGAGCAAAGCTGTTAGCACGGTACATACCGCTAATTCAAGGTAAGAGACTGCATATAAATTACACCTTTTGTGCTAAATCTGTGAAAATGTGTAATGGAAAAGTGCTCGCTAGGTAGAATAGATGAATTAATAGCATTTGATTGACATGGCAACTAACCAGTAGTGGAAGATGGCTATTATAGAGAAGTGCCAACAAGAGAAAAGTCTTATGTGTTTTTTTTAACATTTTATGTGAAATGTTAAATGGTAACATTTTTGTCAGCAAACTTTAGTTTGAAAACTGCATTCAAGACTTTAAGATAACTCTAAAAATGAGTGAAGTTATTCCTGAAAGCGAGTTGGCCAGTTTCATTAAACAAAAACACTCACTAGTCGTCACTCTCATTCTTTAGTGTGCTTTTTTTGCACATGCCCTCTGCTGCCCCCCCTCTTTGAAATACTGACTTTTTATTATAAACTATTACTTCTTAAGCTGCTTATTATCAGACTTCATCTTCAATGGCCAAAACCTAAATGCCCAACTCTATTTATTTATTTTTATATTAGGGCACTTAAATCACTCAGGGTTACAGCTGTTGTGCTGCAATTGAGCTTTGGTCTTGTATAATAACCATAGGCCAGTTCTTCTATAGCTTGAGAGATTCCGGTTGAGATAAGGGAAAATGTGAAGATAACCGAGATGAGTGGAACTGATAATAAGACACTGTAGATAGGTCAGAGAAAAAGAATAACAGATATTATTTTACAATGTTAGTATTACTCTTTCAGATCAGAGAACAGAGGGATTAATGCTGTGATTTTGGTTCTGTTTTGATTCTGATCTTTACAGAAGTTACTGATTTGAAGGAGGAATGGGCATCTCTAGCCAGTTTTGTGCAAATTGTTCAGCTACATGATACTCTCTTTTGCTTTTTGAAATCTTGATGCAGTGACCCCTGTGGCTCTTCATAGCAGGATAGACAAAAGTTTTATTCTCATGAGTTCTGCTGACTGCCAAGTTGTGGTTTTAGAAAAAGTTTTACGGTGTGTATTTGGCATTGAACAGTTAGAATGTGATCTGGTGCCTCATTATGGGGTTTCTTAGCACAGGTTTGTTGTTGTGGGTTTTTTTGTTTGTTTTTTTAAGAAAACTGTAGCTTTTCCCTTAGCAAATTTATAATACTCTGTAGACACACAGGACCTAACTCATCTCTATAAAATGGCTCATTCCTTGAATAGAAGCAGTTTGGATTTTTTTGATAAATACTGCAGTCAGCAGCAAGCTCTAGCTTCACCTGCCACAGTTTCTCCTCACAAGAAATGTTCTGTCAATGAACTCTGTCTACTAGAAAGTCATGTCTTTGGATTTCTGTCTCTTGTTTTAATCTCTCATAACCATTGATTTACTCTGCCTTCTCTCTTTTCTATTGATAGTGGGGTTTGGCTTTTGTTTGGGTTTTTTTTTTCCTCTCAACCATTAAACTGAAAGGCTGTTTATTCAAGTGTAGCTTAGGAAAGTATAGCACTTTGTCTTCCATACTTTTTAAAGTAAGTTTTAAAGCTAGGATGCAGTGCAAAGCACCATTGTTCCCCTTTTCTGTGTGAATACTGCTGGCCCTGTGTCATATTCTATCTGTTGGGGTTTTAGAAGCAACACTGACTCCTGTGCAGGGTTTCCAGGGATGTTAAACTGATTAAATTCAGTTATCTGCCCTAGAAGCCTGCTGTGATATCTGTATAATTTCCAAGGGTGTTTTCTAATATCCTTTTAGGTAACCTGCTCATTCAGGAACTCACTCAGCTGAAGCGCTGTATGAAACTACAGAATTGACTTGTTAGACAGCTTTGGAAGGAAAAAAAAAAAAAGTCAGAAAAGTACATTAATGGCACTTTTTCAGAATTGGTTTCACTAAAGCTTCTCTTTCAAACTTGAGGTGTTCAGGAGAGTTTCATTCAGTAGAAGTGACTTCATATAATCTAGGTTAACATTTTAACATCCTGGACAATAATCGTAAGAAACCATGTCCTAAGGAGATGGCAATGCAATTCAGTGATCTCCTAGTTTGTCTGTTGTCTGGTGTTAGGCTCAACTAAGAATCCTAGGTACCTTTAGATTTCCAGCTGCTTTAGAATTTCTCCTTGTTCAGCTAGGTTTTCCCTAATTTTAAGGAGTGGTCAAATATTAGCAGATCCTATGGTTTGTCCTACTTGCTTGATACCACATTTTCTAAGTAATAGCAGATTACCTGATTTGTCTACCACTTCTGCCTAGCTTAGCAGTAAGATGACAGGAATCTAGCTTTAATAAGCTAAAAAGAGAGTGAGTGGGCTGTCTGCCTCTGAGCATAAAGAATGGTACTCTGGCAAAAAGACAAAGTTTGCTTAAAACCCTAAGCTAACTAATTATTTCAGTTTCCTGACACATGTTCCATTAACCCAGTTCTAGCTTGGAATTTTGTTAATTGGCACAGCTTCAGCATGGCTCAGATTAATGTGTGAAATCCCAGGGGCTTTGAGCCTGCAGTAATTTTTTATCATTAACAATTTGATCGCGGGATTTTTTGTAACGTCCTTTGTTCAGTGGCATTCCTGATAGGATTCGTTAGGTTTCCCATTATCCATCAAGTTTTTGCAGATTGATGGATGCCAGCATTTTAGATTTGAAGAGTTCTTAGTCTGTGATTTGACCATCCCCAGGACCAATAAATTGTGTGTTTCTAAAGCTGATTTGGTCATCATTTCTTTCCCAAGTATATGCGTTGTCATCTTTTCTTTCTTGGTCTACGAGGTAAAGACTGCTGACCAGTTAATTTTATCTCATGTTCATCAGTACTTACTTGAATTTCACAAAACCTGATGTCTTCCTCATAGTGCATCAATACCTAGCTCTACTTGTTTTGTTATGAAACTTTAGCTGATAGTGCAATTCTGCTGATCTGTAAGGTTTTTAAAAAAATGTAGGGTGGGCAGTGAAAGCACTGAGTAAGAAATAGAATTCCTGGTGAGAGGCAGGAAAGTAGAAAAAGGAGTAATGGGAAAATTGTTTGAAATGAAAGGTTTTGATTACTGTAAGTTTATGAAATTATTAGTGAACTCAAGATAGGACTGCATGTTGTTGTGGTACTTATAAAGAAGGAAAAAGTGGTAGCACAGGTTTGGAAGCAACTGTGGAAAGAAATTGCTTAAATTGAGGGGAGAAGGTGACTGTTCTGTGAATCTGCTGTAGGTTCTCCAACTTAGACTTGATTGTGGGCAGGGTTTTCTGTGATTTTGGAGTAAGTGATTCTTCTGTCTTGTTAGAAATTGGGAACAGATATCTGTAATCACAGTGTTCAGATTTACGTGGGTAGTTGTTCTTTTAATAAATATTTATGAATAAGCAAGTTGTATGATCTTTGTATCTTAAAGCATACTCATAAGATTTGAGTTCTGGAAGTTTAACTTTTCATGTTGTACCTCATCAGCTGCCACGTAAAGACTAATCATATGACAACTCCTGCTCTTTCAGTGCTATGTAAAATGGATTGGATTAAGTTTCTACTGCACTCTGTAGCTGAATCTTTGAGGAACCAAATAATTTTACAGAATTAAATAACCCCATAGAGGGCTTGGTGAATAGAAAAAGACAGAAGTGGCTGTAAAGCTTATTTTCAATTAACATAAAATTAAGTAGAACATGTTAGTATTCGGGAGTCACGTTCTTGTAGGCTCTGTTTTGCATTCTAAAATTCTCAACCTGCAGTTATAAAGAGTTAGCGGACATGTTAGATTTCACTTAGGAACCATAAAACTATATAGTTATGGGGAAATACTAATTAAAATTTGTTATCTTTCACGAATCCAACCAAATGCACTGTGCAAAAGTAAAAACAAGTGTTGAGTAATAGCAAGCCTTAACAGTAATCATTCAGTAATCAGTTTCTTCAGTTAACCTCTGCACCCAAATTTCAGATAAAACTCTGTGGAAATAATAAATTATGTCTGTAGGCAATCTGGCATGCTGTTAGGTAGAGCTGCTGAGTGATGGATAACATCAGACACATGGCAAAAATCCATTTTGAATGTGGATAGAGCTTGAGTGTAAAAAGATTCAGAAATAACATGATAAAATGAGCAGTGTTCCCAGTAAAATTTGGTAACTTGCATCCTGGAGTGTACTGTTCTGATAGGGATCAAACACTGTACTCCCTTCTCCCTTTTTTTCCTTGTAGCCAACATTCATTGTCATTTTTCTGTTCAATTTCAGGAAACTTTTGGTGGCTAAAGGAACTGTTTCTTTCTAGAATCACTTTATATTCGCAGATGTGGGGTACATCTCAGAATGAGAAACAATACCAGGGATGATGACAACTCCAAAAGCCTCATTATAAGCAATCTCAGAGCTATGCTTGGGAGAGCAGGTAACTTCTACCTGTGAAGTTACATTTGTCATTGGAGCATTAAAAAATTCATGTCACAAAGTGGAATGTCATGAGCTGATTGTTGAATGTGAAATAAATAAAATTTCTTCTCTGCACTCAAGTGGTATGTTGGTAACTGTAGATTTCTTTTTAGTGGTTGCCATGCCACTACCTGAATTTTGCTGATACTCCAGACACTTGAAACCATTTCAGAGCTATTTTAACCAAAGGGGAAGATGAAATACGAACCTCGGAAGTTCTGACAGCAACTAGTCAGTCACTTGAAGGTAGTCTGTGTTCCCTTTTGTTAAATAGAAATTACCCTGGAACCATCTTCTGTGGATGTGGTAACTTTCTGCTCACCTACCTGTTGTTTCTTTAAAAAAAACGAGTATTTTCTGTAGTTTTAAAAGCTTGGCCAGTGTAGCTGTTTTATTTTTATATATATATAAAAAACAGATACACTGTTTTATATATAAAATATTATATATATATATAATTTAGATATATAATAACGGCTATATAGCACTATATATATTTATTTTTTAATTACCTGTGTTTTACTTGTTTTCTTCCTATCTCTTGAATGTTTCAGGAGTCAGATTTTCCTGGTCTAAATATGCTTTCAGTTGAGAAAACTCAATGCTAGCATTTGACGCC